TAAAGTGCAAACTCTTTAGATAAAGTGGAAGGAACCTTTAAGATCATCTAGTTCCAATCCCTCTGCATGGGCAGGGACACTTTCCACTAGACCAGGTTGCTCAGAGCCTGGCCTTGAACACTTCCAGGATTGGGGCATCCACAGCTTCCCTGGGGAGCCTGTTCCAGTGTCTACATTCCCCACACCAAAGAATTTCTTTCTAATCTCTAACCTAAATCTCCTCTCTTCCAGCTTCAAACTATTCCCCCTCATCCTCTCACTACATGCCTTTGTAAAAAGTGCCTCCCCAGCTTTCCTGTAGGCCCCCTTCAGGTTGCTATAGGGTCTCCCTGGAGCCTTCTCTTCTCCACGCTCAACACCTCCAACTTTCTCAGCCTGTCTCCATAGGATAAGTGCTCCACTCCTTTAATCATCAAGCTCCAGGCCCTCCTCTGGAGTCATTGTAACAGCTTCATGTCCTCCTTATGTTAGGGACTCCAGAACTGGACACGGTACTACAGTTGGGGTCTCAACTTATCCATTGAGTATAAACTTCCTCCTTTCTCCACAAAGAAAGGCAGCTGGGCAGATGAGTACACAATAATGGTGCAGTACGTTTGTGTTCAAGCAAAAGATTGTTCAGTCTCTTTTCTGTGTCGCTGGATGCTATTTGTATGTGAACAGAAATTTATCTTCAGGCAGGTAATTCCACAGTTCAATTAAAATGAGCTTAAACAGCTGTGTGGTGCCAAGTACTGTTTAGGAAACTTTGCAAAAATAATTTGCTCTTTAAAATGTGATCTCAATTGAACTTCTGTGCTTGGTTTTCCTAAAATAAGCAGCTGCAGACACTGTGTAAAAAAGTTAACATGTTCAATAGGAATGCAAATATAACCCATGACACTTTAATGGCTCCACACTAATGATAGTACAGACATGATGTATCATCTGAGATACTCTTTTTAATATTCCTGTTGTAGACCAGCATGATGTGCTCTAATGGTTGTGAAGAGGACAATGAGACCGAGAGAATGATCAACATGTGATTTTTTTATTTTTTTTTTTTCCAGGCACATCAGTCCTTTTTACATTCAAAATCTCAAATTATTTCTCTTATCTTAAAGCACTTGTAATTAAACTTTGAGATCTTTTACCCTAGGATTTTTAAGATCGTCCTTAGGGTGAGAATCTGTTGGTTTATTGTTTTTTTTTCTAAAAGAAAACTTTTGCTCCTTGTCAAACTGTGTTTTCCATTAGGTAAGATCTCCTGAAGTTACCTTTAGAGTGGGATTTTTGGGGTGAATTACATTTGCTTAGGAGTGAAACTGCTGAGTACGTTTCTTGAAAATCCTAGGAAGCTGTGTAAGCATGGGAGGAAAGGAATTCCTTTTTGTGCTGTGGCAGCAGAAAAATGAAATATTTTGGTCTTAATTATTTGCTCTGATATATATATGGCAGAAATTATAACTTCCTTCTGAGGAAGTTGCATATTTTAAGGCTCTGCTTTCAGTCCAGAAATCTCAAGTAGTGGCTTTATCAGAACACTGTGTTGTTGTCCTCATTTATTCCAAAGCTTTCGAGAAATTGGACCAGACTGCTCCATGGTGTTTTGTTTTTTTTCCTTAAGTTTTCTAAAGTTAGGTGCAAAGGGAGCAGCATCTCTTCTGCTCCTCCCATGCCACCTGGCTGCCACATCATTTATGTCTGCCAGATCAGGGTTTAACAATGTTGTGTCCTCAGCTGAAGAAAGAACAGATTGTAGTTTGTGGTTCTACATTTGATTGTGTCAATTTGTGGCTTCTGATAACGTTATGCCACTTGGGAGTTTTGAGACTTTTTGGAGTGCATGAAGCGCGTGGGCACCAGCAAAACACCAGGACTTAAGCACAGACAGTGAGCAGGAAAAATGAAAATATGAGTAACTTGCTCTGTACATAATGGGAGTTACATATTGACCATTCCTGGTGCTTTCAGTTCAGTACATGTTAAAAAAAAGTGAACTTGAAATCCCTGACATAATGCAAAGAGAGGAAGAGATGCCTGGTGCCCTTGAAGGTACAGTGGAGGTCATACAGTCAGAGGAGACTTTGCTGAGCAAGTGCTGTGCCATCTGCTTGATAAGCTGTGGAACAGATTAGTTATTATGCTGCTTTCTCTAAAGAGAAAACAGGATTGCGGAGTTGAATTTAAAGCAAATATGTGAGCTTGACTTTTCAGGTTTAGTTCATCTTACACAGAAACTTGCAGAAGAGAGTTATTATACTTTTATCATTCCAGTCAATCTTTATTTTGCTCTGAGGTTATAGATGTATTGCTGCTCTTAAAATCACTCACAGGAGACTGTGGGGTTTGTTTCTTCTCTATACCTGTGCTAGTGATATCTAATGTGGATAGATAGAGAAAATTGCCTGCTAGTCCTTTAATTCTCATGTTATTGTAACATTAATGAACCGTGGTGAAAGCTTTTTATTTGTGAAGGAGGTTTTTGAATGTGCACAGACCTGTCGCACAGATGTGTCACCTTTTGGGGCTCTTTCAGGTGTCCCTGATGCCAGAAGTTCTTGTTTTTTTTAAAGACAGTATGTAATCTGAGTTTGCTTGCTTCTGAAGGAAAAGCATTTGCAAGAACAGCCAGCTTGTCTTGTATTGTGTATCCTGCTTATGTGCAGTGGTTTTGATGGTGTTATTCCTGTCATGTTTTCCTTTTTATTCTTACATACATTTTAGAGCTTGTTTGATATTTCTCCATTTTAAATTAACTGAACATAGATACATATATAAGTCATCTCATATCTGTCTCTGTTTACATTTTGTTTCCCTGGTAGCTTTCTCAAATGATCCTGCAAATCCATCATCTTAGGCTGTCTTACATGCATATCATGAACTTGGTCAGGGTTAAGAAGATAATAAAATGCAGAAGCCTTTCAGGGTACTGAATGCTCAAATGGAATGGATTCTTTATATTGCCAAGGTGAAGGAATTGATAGTGAAAAGAAAGCAAATTCAACTGAGTTCTTTATTGGAAGATATTTTTCTGATGGTCTCTTTTTCCCAACACTGACAGTTGTAGTGGTAGTAGTATGGTGAAACTTGTTAATGCTCTAGTTAGTTTATAAATCTCTGAGAAGCATTACAGCCGTCATTTTGAGCTACAGCAGAGCTTTCTAACACTGAAATGGACTTGTGTCAGTGTTTGAGACAAACTAAATCTTTTGATCCAGTAGTTTACCTGTAGAATTATAATTTCATGCTTCAAAAAAAGAAGGAAGAGCAAAAACATGGCAGTATGTTTCTACATTTTCTGTGCTGCTGTTCTTTGGTGTTTTCCCTCTAATTGTTTCCCCTTCATCTTTATACTGTATTTTATTTTGTATGAGGTGGTGTAGGGGAAAGCTGAAAAGGTTTTGTAGAAGTATAGTTAACTGCTTAACTTGGACATCAGTTGTTGTTGACTTGTGTGATTTCTGTACCAAAACACTTTGTTCTTATATTTTAATATGATAATCTGTTCCTGGTTTGGGTTTCAAGGTGAGTGTACCCTTGTGATATAGAAGCATGTGATCTTTTGTGTAAATATGCATATTCAAGGGTGGCAATGCACCCTATTAATCTTGTAATACATTCTAGTGCACTCTGATGTTTGTGCCTTAGCTATTTTCATCATATTAAACATTTATCCAGTATTCCAAGCAGTATTATCTCTGTTGGTATATTTATGATATTGTTCAAGTTAGCTGGTCCAAAGTGGCCAGGAAAAACAACTTTTTTTTTTGTGTCCAGGTTGTTCTATTGCAGGTACATATTTAACCCTTTTAGAACATGAAGCTCCATATATTTTTATTTCCCACACTGCCACACTTTATGAATAAGAAACAATCTATTCTTGCTGGATCAGGCCACTAGTCATAAAGGTAGTAACTGTGAGAAAAAGCAGTAGTGCCAGACTGGAAGCATCTGTGAAGGTGCTATAGCTGCTTGCTCATTGAAGAAGCAAAAAAATATTTTTTCTCAGTGGAATTGTTTGTGGTTTTGAGTATTATTTTTTTTTTCTTTAAATGAGAGGGTGAGAGGCTGTAGTCAAGTTCCCAGAAAAACCTATGAAAAGGTATGTTTTGCCCAGGGAAGTGGTGGAGGCACCATCCCTGGAGATGTTCAAAAAAGGGGTAGACATGGTGTTCCATAAGATGGTTTAGTGGTTATGGCTTGTAGGGTGGATGGTTGGACTTGATGATCTTGAAGGTCTTTTCCAACCTTGATGATTCTATGATTCTATGAAATAATTAAGCTAACCTGTGTATTTGTGTATTTGCTGAAGTAGGCAGTGGGACAAAAGGAAATCTATTATTTTAATAATCAGACATGCGTGGGTGTAGAATTTCTGTTGTGCTCTTGGTGGAGCAAAGCATGAAGTCTGTACTGTAAGTCCAGTTTTGGAAAAACATAGGTGAGAAGATTCAAGTCTAGCACATGGCTTTATGATCAACAACTAGCAGTGTTAATCAGTTAGCTTTGGCTTGATGTCTAGCTGTATGACTGCTAAGCACTACAGTGTTTAAGCTGGTTAATTTGAGACATTTTAGAGAGACTTCAGACTTAATGTGTTTTGGTAGCTGCTTTTAAGGTTAGTGAGAAAAAACCTTTTATGAAAGCAGGTCAATTTCAGTAAAAGGCACCTTTTGTGATTTTGTAGTGTGTTGTAGCAGGTGGGTGGATAATGTTTAGTCTTTAGTCTTACTTTAAAAGAGGGAGGCTGATCTAGAGGGAAGGCTAAAAACAAAGGCTACTTTTAGAAAGTTAGAAAATAACTTGTTTTATCTACACAAAATTTTTGTTTAACCCAAGTCCATTGCCTAACATGGTGATAATACTGCATAATAAATATATTGAGGATGGGAAACAGTGCCTGAAAGCACAACCACAAGAGGAGCTGGAATATGTGGTTGGAATACTTAGGGTTAACAAATTGTCTGTCCTGTTTATTATAATTAATCAACCTCAATAAAACTTTTTTTTTTTTGTAGGAATTTGTTTACCAGAAAGCAAAATGCAAGATTTGATAAACAGAATGATGTGGGATGGAAGTTGTTTGGAAAAGTACCTCTCAGAGAAAACTCACAGAAAGATGCAAAGAAAATACAAAAGGTATTAGTTTAATTTTTGTTAAGCTTAGTTGTGAATGTAGAAGCCAGTGAAGTTTATGATCTGTGTATATAACTGTGAAGTCTGATGAGTTGCATAGAATTTCTTCATCGGTGTGAAAAAAGGGTTAATTCAAATCGTACTTCATTATAATATTGCTGTTCAAAAGAGTGTTTTCTACGTGGCCATTACATTGAGTACTCCATGAAAACACACACCACTTGGGTATAAAGAATTTCATGTGAAGATTCAAAATATATTAATATGATTTTGTTTTGGTTTTTAGTATCAAGCTTAGTAGATATTCTGAAAATCTTTGAATCTTCTGTATCTTGCTCAGTTTTTCACTGGTTCGTGGCTTTTTTGTCATACAGCCATCTATAATAGGCTGTTTGATCTGCTGGGCCTTAACTCATTTTTGCTTAAATGATATTTTAAGCATACATAAATTCAAGATAGAGTGAAGGTTAAGAGTGTCAGAAACTTGTGTTGGAATACCGTTTTCACCCATTCCTTGTTTGCTGAAGTACTAGATGAAGTGGAGATTTTCCATGTGTGAGCCTCAATGAAAAATTGTTTAATGACTTGAAATGTTGCAGCAATATAACATAGTTCAGGATAAGCGTATGGAATACTTTTTTTCTTCTTTCTTTTTTGTTGTTGTACAATACAGTTCAAAAGGGAGTGTGTATTGAAATTGCTCCATGAATAGAGAGAAACTTCAAAAGCATCAGAAACACCAAAGAATTTAGTTTTATCCCTGTCTTCATTGCTAATTAACTAGTTTGGACATTGTTTTTGCTTATATTTGCCAGTAGTTAGATCTGTGATTTGTCAAATTGTAGCAGCTGTTTTTGGGGGCAGAGAAGGACAGTGAAGAGGTTATACAAAAATCTCGGCCTTCCTTACTGTGTCATAAGAGAATAAAAACCACTGAAAACCCATTTTCTCCTTCTTGCCTATAGCTTCTGAAGCTGTAGCATTATAACATTGTTGAAAACATTTTGGAGGGCTGGTTCCAATGCAGATAAACCCAAGCATGTTGTTAGAGAATCAAATAATCTGCCTTCCCAAGGGGGAAAAAATCTTATTAAACTCAACTATGTGATCAGTAGTTTATGAGCTCCTCTTGCAGTAAGAAGAAAACATCCTCTTTCAATCTGTCTCTCTTGATCTGGGATTTTTGGATTGCACATAAGCATTTTATGTGTTTGGGACTTTGGCTAAATGGCATTTGGTTCTTACTTTCTTGTTCAAACCACTGTGGGAATAGGAAGGTTTGTACAGCGGGAGACATGCAGTTAGAGCTTCAAAACCAGCTTCTCTGTGTCAAATGGGAGTGCTACTTGAAAGACTGTGCTGCTTAATTTAGGGTTCAAGTGCTCTGGAAATCCAGGTGCTTCATGTGACTACTTTTAGCTGTAGCTATGCTGTTAATCTAAGTGAAGTTCAAGCAGCTGTTTGAAATTTGTCACTGTGATTAACCATTTGGATTTTATCTACACTTTGTCTTGATACAGTTAACAGTTCCAAAGTGTTCACCAGAGGCTTTTGATGACACAATTGCAGAGGCTTAATAATAGCAGCACTCTGGCTCTTAGCAGTGTATTTTATTGTAGTAAACTTGATAAACGGGTAAATAGTTTATTAACTTTTGTGGTTGCTGCTGGTACTGTGAATATTTTTTCCTTTAGATACAAGCTGTCTTGTATTGTGAGTATTCAGTGTTCCTAGAACATTATAACCTTGGATGGTTGTATTAAATCTGTTAGAAAAAAGTAGCTATTAAAGAATTATGTGGTATGGCATCCACATATTAGTGAGTTTCTGGCAAGATTGCAAGTCTGAAACAATTGTCTACAATGCCTCTGGAATAACAATAATCCTTCCAAATTTATTTGGTGTTTTCCTGGAGGTTTTTTTTTTTTTTTTTATGCATGTAGAATTTCTGAGATGTGGGTAATGCTGTAATTAACTAATCCAGCCTCGCCACCATCTAAAAGCACATCCAAATTTAGGCTATCCCTCACAGGTTGCTTTGACAATGACAAAGTAGCACTTGCCTTGCAGAGGATATGTCTATGTAGAGGCAGGCTTTTAGCCCTTTGATTTGTACCTAGAGAACTTGTATATGTGTAAGTGGAGGAGGTGGCAGCGTATGGCTATTGGAATGGTGCCTGTTGGCCAACACCAGTACCTTCTTTCTGGAAAAAAGGGTACTAGGTCAGAAGGACAAATGCTCTGGGTCTGTTTCTACCTTGAGGTATGTATTTGATTTTCAAGGCCAGAACAATAGATGCTTGAAAGGTTGTTATCTCATGTATTGAAAATTTGAAGGTATGCAATGAAATGTGGGCATTGGGGAAGAAAATGGCTGTGATCAAAATAAATGGTTAGTATCCTAGTAAATTATTTCAGTGTCTGCACTTTTTCCTTTGGGGTATGAAACAAGGTGCCTGATCTATTTATTCTATAGGTGGCTGTTAACCGTCTGCAGTTTATGTATACTTTACTTGAAATTGGGTCAGATGTAAAAAATTTTTCTTTTCAGAAGTGCTAGGGCCTTCCTTTAAAATTCAGTGCAATGTGAGTTACACTTGCATGATATGCAATCCACTACAGACACTGGGTGCCTGAGAAGCCAGTCTTGTGGGGATGCACAGTTTTGGAGCTTGAGACTCTGTATCCTGATCCACACAGAAATATGAAAAGCTTTGTGGAGTACTCTGATACGAACTTGTCAGTATGGGAGCTGGGTCTTGAGAGCTGTGCAGGGAGCTGTGAGGCCCTGAACAATGATGGTTACATTGCAATGGTTAGTTGAATGGTGTCAGCTCTGTGTATTGAGAGGAGTGTGTAGAGCACACAGTCTGAATGGAAACTGCCACCTAGACAGAAGGGACTAATAAAAAATATAAGTACTCTTTCAACATAATGTGGTGTGTAACTTCCTATACACTTCAAGAAACTAAAAACTGGAGGGAGAAAAGGGAGACTCAGTTTTTCGGACATCATGAGAAATCAGCAGGGTTTTGAACCCTGCTGTCTCTTGATCTCTTGAGGTAACTTAGATTTGTAGCAGCAGTCACCTGTCACTGCATGCCATCCATTTCTGATTTTATTACACAACTGGACTTGTGCAGACTTGATGACCAATAGACATGGCTTATATGCTGCTGGCCACAGTTATAATGGGAATTGTTTCCTTCCTGTAGTAGTCTTTATTATTTAAAGTATAGACTTTATTCCTTCCATCTTCAGTATGTACAGGAGTATCTAACTTTGATCATAGAATTCAGTACTCTGACAGACTTCTAATGTTTTGGGCTTCTGACATGATGAACAAAATAATTGTGTCAGAGTCTCCTTATAACTTAACCTTTCATCACTGTGTCTCTTGGGTATTTATTTGGATTTGTACTGAAGAGACTCAGTTAAGGGTTTTATGCCTATTTGCTGGTGACAGAAAACTGACAGGCTTCTGAGAGTGTTACTTGTGAAATGGTGGAGATGTAGACTGTGCATTCCTGTTGAGCTTGACTCTGTCCCTCCTGTTCCAGTTCCTGCCTCTGTTGATGCTGGCACTTAAAACGGGGGCTGTTTATTGAGCAAGAGCCTTTCCATTATCTGGGTGCTCCGGCTTGACTTACCGATTCTTTTCAAGGAAAAAAATCCGAAATGTTTTCATACCATGGAGTCCAGGTCTTCCTGCAAATTCTGTTCACAGTGATGTTATTGTCTGTGTTTGTCATGGTTTGACTCAGGATTGACAACAATGCTCTTGATCCCCTCCCCCTCTCACCCACGTAAGAAAGAGAGAATGAGGAGAGAGACTCTCTAGATTGAAAACTAAATTAGACAGCTTTAATTAAACACTAATGATAAAATACATCACCAGGCTTGATCCTGGCTCAAACCAGGACAATGTTGTAAAATACTTATATGTAGCCCATAGATGGTAGGAGATTGTGGCTGACTGCAGAGGCACTTGAGTAATGATTCTATTAGCAGAAATATGGTCTAAGTTAATTCCGAAAGTCAGCTTAGAGGAAAGGTGATGAATTCTTAATTGTGATTTTTACTTGATTATGATTTCCCATCTTGAGGAAAATCAAGTTGCATGTAACTTGTTTAGACTATCATTTGGACTGTCTAAGATGCCACAAAATAGCCAGTCTAGTAGTAGCCACAGCTATCAATTTCTGTTTGCATCTGTCCTCAAGTTTCACGTACCTAGGGAAATCTATATGGTTGTACCTGCTTGGTATGAAGCTCTTTGTACTCAGGAGCTAAACTGACTGACCCACCAAGTAATCTTTTCTGAAGTCAGCTTCTTTGGCTTCTGGACAGACATCTAAGAAGTCCTTTTTTCCAGGTCACTAATTAGAGCCCTGTAACTATCATTTAATTTGGCTGCAGACTCCTGTAGTGAGTTCATTGGTGTGTTCATGATTCCATCTTTTGACACTTTTATATTTTTTTCAAAATAACATGAAGTTAACCACAAACTTAATATTCTAAAGCATAAGAATATTTATGTACACATTTTTTAACTTTTATGAAGAGAATAATCTTTAAATAGTCATATTTTACATTGTTCTGACACCTTCCCCATAATAGTTTTGTCTGGGATTGAAATAAATTTTTGCAAGAGAGAAAACAATTGTCATTTATGTGTTTATGTAAAGTGTGAAAGTAGGGAAGGGTGGAGTAATTGAACTATAAATTGGCTAAAGATTGTTCTTAGGAAAAGCAGTTCTTTTTTCCTTTTAACCTGTTTCTTAAAAAACAATCAAAACTCCAGACCCTCAAACTTCACTTGTCATTCAAGTTGAACATTGTTATACATACCACTGCTAAAGATGGCTGTACATATACAAATGAGGCCAGACTCAATTTCTAAGGAACAGTCACATTTTTTGGTTTGACCTATGACCAAAAGAATGGTCAGACAGGTTTTTGAGCACATACACTTTTTCCTCAGGCCCTGTAAGAACTTCTAA